GGACCACTAATATGATCTGCCTAATGACTGGCTGGGGGGACGTGGCTAGGTGGTATGGTCATGTGACTGGGTGGGCGTGGCCAACTTGATGTCATTTACATCGAGGAGTACCTCTATTCGGTACCTCTATTCTCCTGTCCCCTCCCAGCCACTCCTCACCTGCCCACCCAGGCTCCTTAGCAGTTGTTGGAGCTAAGCAGCCCCACAAGAAAGAGTTAGCAAAACAGTCAGCTCAGTTGAAATTGGATCTGACCAAGAAGGAGGCTCAGCCGAAGCACCTCACTGAGGACTAGGAGAAGAGGCTTTCCAAGCAGAGGGAAGACCTGCAGGAGTGCAAGGCCAGGTACTGGTGCCTGGAGGCTCAGTGGGCTGAGATGGTCAGCCAGTTCCAGGCCATGATGCAGTCCCACTGGAACAAGGCCCTCCAGCTCTTTGCCACCAGTGGCACTTCCCTCCAGCCTTCGCCCAAATCCCCGCACCAGAAGGCTGAAGCAGACCCTGAATTGGAATTTATGCCTCCCTGTGACCTGTACAAAAAACCCTGAAGAGGGAGATTCTCTGCAGCAACAGAAACATTCACTGCACGTATCCAACCCAGGCACCATACTTTGAGGATCCCTAATTTATGCAATATAAAAAAATGCAAATAATTTTTCTGCAGACCACCAAAATTTTCTCACAGACCACCAGTGGTCCATGGAGCACTAGTTGGGGAACACTGATCCAGAGGATTTTATATCTTGGGAGGGACAATGCTGTTTTTGCATTGCCTCGGCCAAAGGCTGAGTCCTTTCAGGAAATCTGGGGAAAACATTCTTGCAGTTGGGCTGAAGGATCTGAAAAGAGGAGGCCAGCTGGATGGCTCTTCCGGGAGGGAGAAAGAAGAGCTGGGAAGACCCAGCTTGGGCTGAGAACCATATTCCAAGAATGGGATGCAAGAAAACAGGCTGGTAGAGATGATGGGACAGGAGGCAGGGAGGTGTTTTGGCTCCAGTAGAGCTAAGAGGCTTACATAGAGTTGCACAGAAGAAAGTAGGAAGGTTGCTCAACTCCAATTGATCATAAGAAGGAGGGAGGAAGAAGAAACCCAAGTAGGCAGTCCATGTCAGTGGGAAGTCCTTCTGGAGACCAGTGGAGAAACCTTTGGCTACTACCAAGAGCATAGGAAGATCTAAACCCTCAACAGGAAGAATCCCCAAATGACAAATTTGATGAAGCGGCTGTTTTGACCTAGGCTTCCCAAAAGCATGAAGCTGACTCCTTTAAACTGAATAAAACCCCTTTTATTTAGTTTAAAGTGAATTCCTCTCCAGCAAAGTCTTGGCCAATAGTCTTTCAAGAGATTTCACAACTACAGACCTTCATCAGGCTTGGAGAGCTGCCAGGCCAATATCTTCCAAATGCCGCTCTGTAGCAGACAATACTTGGGAAGAAGTCAGAAACACATCTTCACCCTAATGAATTGAACTAACTGTCTCCTGCAATCACCCCTCCCCTTTCGCTCCTCTTTATTCCCTATGGGATGGGCCATTCACCGTCCACCTGTGGCTTTACTCCCAAGTCCACCCTTGTTCCTTAGCTGTCCCCTTCTCCTGGCAGCTCTGTGCATGAGCACACTGGGAACAGGCTCCAACTGCTCTTCTGCAGCACTGATGTCCGACTCCGAAGGCAGCTGATAACTGTCAGACGACCCTGGCCCATCTCTGCCTCCAATGCAGAGCACTCATCAGAGCCTTCCTCAGACTCCAGGACTGGCCCATGTTACTCCCCAACCTCCTCACTGTCCAAATCTGCTGGCTGCTGGTGGGCCATAAAAGTAGCTGTCCTATTAATTCCTGTAGGTTTTAACTAGGTGGTGTTGCACTGGGTGCTCCTCTCTCAGTGCATATAATTGTCTCTAAGGCCTTTCCTGACATAGGTCTGGGTGATTTCAGGAAGTGCACCTTTACAGCCTCTTGAGTGATTGGGCCCGCCCTAGGGAGCATCCTCCTCCTGAGATCAGATTGTCCCTAATGCTGCTGGCCTTTCAGATGATTGACAAGACCTGCTTATGTGAGTGGGCAGGAGGTGGGGACACAAGAAGTGATGCAGGGAAGTTACAAGGTGTCATGCAACCCATGTGAAGATTCTGTTGTGGATTGGCTGTTAATTTGTCTTTATTTTGATGCTCTTTTATCTTTCTAACTTTTTAACTTTTTGACCCGAGCGATTGATCCATATTAGAATACAACAAGAAAACTGTTGTTGCTGTTAATTGATTATTAGTTGTACCTCCTCCCAAATCCCTGTTTGGCTTCCGGTTTTGCGCGGCTTCGGTAGCGGCAGGAATTCGCGCCTCTGCGATCCCTGCCGCGTTCGCTGCCAAGGTGCCCCCGATCTAAATAGGTCTGGGGGCTATGGCTGCCTTGTAGAGGCAGCCGAAGAGAGAGGGGATTCGGACAGAGGTTTGGGGGTAACGCAGACCCCCTTTCCAGCCGGGATAACCCCTTTTTCCTGAGGTGGTGGAGCGGCAGTCAGTAATGGCCGCCTCAAAGAAGCCAGCAGCCAGGTAAGATTTGTGCTGGAGGAAGAGGGAAGAGCTGTGGAAGTTGCTTCTGACTGGGATAAAGTTAAGAGAGAGAGTTCCTGTAACCTCGAAGGCTGCTAAGGATACTTTGTTTCTAGAAAGAGATACAAGCGGCGAACATTTTAAAAGAGTAAGTTTTTTTTTTCTTGCCTTTCACTCTCCTCCCTAACGTGACAGCAGTGGAACTATAAGAGAAATCCGGGAATCTGTTCTGGAGGTAAATGAATATTGAAGGAGCAAGGATTTCTGAATATTCAAAGGGGAAAAAAAAAGAAGAAGAATTTCATTTTGGCTGTGAGTGGGAAGGGAGAGGAAAAAAAAAAATGGAGCAACCTGAAAATAAGGAGAAGACTGCCTAAAACTTTAAAGAGTTAATTTTAAAGAGCTATTAAACAGCAATAAGACTTCCTAAAGATATATTTTAAAGAGAACTTTGTGATCAAACTTTATCCCAAAAAGAGAAAGTGGAAAAAGAGAAAGTATTAAAAAGAATCAGCTGATTGGACTGTTTGATGACTTTGGATTTTATGAGAATTATCTCAGACTAAAAGCACTTGGGTGGTTGTTTTGAAAAAAAAATTTCTCTGTACAATGACATCAGTTGTGGATGAACTAGAACTTATACATCAAAAATATGAAAGAGAAAAGCAAGAAGGGAAAGATGTCTTTGGCACTCTTTTTCAGTTTATAGAAATGGCGGTCTGTGCTTATGTAAAATCGTATGAGCAGGATAAAGAAGAAGCCATTTTTGAAGAACATGTGACTTTGGTTGGGGAAGAAAAGAAAGAGGAGAAAAAGGAGAAGAAGACTTTAAGACCTGGGAAAACAATCCAAAAAGAGAAGAATAAGGTGAAAAGAGGATATCGTGTTAGGAAACAACAGAAAGATGGAAAACAGGATAAAAGGGAGGTGGAGAGACAAGGGGGTAAAGAGAATAAGGAGAAGAAGAAGCAAGGGAGAAAGGAAGGGATGAGAAGCTTTAATGGTGGGGAGCAAAATGCAAAAAAAACAAAACAAAAGTTTTTTAGAGATAATGGATAGATTTTATTGGAAAAGGGATTCTAGAAAGGTACATAAGATTGCATTTTTATATTTGTATTTAGAAATAATTATAGAAGATTGGAATTAATATGTAATTTAAAATGTGATAAATATTTAGTATAATTTAGTGAAATTTTTGTTAAGAGAGGGGAGTACTTTAATGAAATAATGATTTAAGATCAGTGATGTGGGGGGGGGGGGGGAATAATTTTGGAAAGTATAAGAAGTGTTCCCATAATGGTATGATAATTAATTGAAATGTGTAAAATGTCTAAAGATATAAATGATTGTTAACACAAATGATTAGGCTATGTTATAATAGTGAAACTATTCGTGAAATGAGAGGTTTGAAGAAGGAGAGGGGAACATGTAATGTAATAATGATCTATAATATGTGATGTGGGGGATGGAATTAATATGGCAAATAGGTGCTCCCATAGAAATATGTGACCTAATTGATAAGAAATGTGCTAGATGTTTAAGATATGAATAAATATTAATATTAATGAATAGATTTGTATTGGTTTTGATGATATTGTATAATGTCAGAATGTACCAGACAGAATCTCAACGTAAGTTATGTATTTTAAATCAAGTATTATAAATATAGGGGAAAGAGACACAGGCGTCATACTCCAATCAGTGTACAGGAGAAGGTTTTTCTTTTTTCTTTTCTTTTAAGAAGAAAGATAAACGGATAGTTGGAAATAGAACAGACAAAGAATAAATATTATGATTTGAATTGAGAGGAGATAAATAAAATAAAATTGAGAAAATTTAAAAGAAAGGAGAAGCTATATAGAAAAATGAAAATGTAATAAGATATGTAATGGTATGTAAAATGAATATGAATTTGAATGTGTGTCTGTACCAAGAGTTTTGACCCGGGATTAAGCAACTTTCAGAAAAGATATTTTTTATGTTTTTATGTCTTGAATTTTTGTATGTTTTGTATGTCTTTAAAAATTAATAAAAATTTGTTCAAAAAAAGAAAAAAAAAAGAAAACTGTTGTTGCTGTTAATTGATTATTAGTTGTACCTCCTCCCAAATCCCATAAAAGTCCCGGGAAAATCTGTTACTCAGAATGAATTGCATTACCACACCCATTTCAGTTCTGCAAGTAGTTTTAAGTTATTTCTTTGAGAAAAAGAATAAGTGAACATGGATACGCCTGGCACAGTGGTTTAAAAATCAGAATCTTTACAAGCAATCATTCAGAGAGATTCTCTACACTTAAATATAAAGGAAAGACAAAGGGATAATTGGTGTTTATTTAAAAATAGCATATTTCTATCATGACTTGGGCTTTCGGTTCATTTTTGTATAACCATTAGATTAACAAATACTGTTACTCAAGCTTACCAAGCCCTCTAACAGTTCATTTTTTCCTATTTATTTAATCATCAGATGTTCTTTTGTATTCAGATGTGGCCTTAGCAGAATGATGTAGCACTTAGGGATGAAGATGCAGCCCAACAGGCCAGCGCTGGAGGCCAAGATGGAGAAAATCTGCACAGCCACCATGTACTTCCCCTTCGTGCTCAGGTAGGTGGGCACAAATGACACCCAAACAGTGCAGAAGACCAGCATGCTGAAGGTGATCAACTTGGCTTCATTGAATGCACCAGGGAGGTTCCGGGCCAGGAAAGCCACTGTGAAGCAGACAGCAGCCAGGAAGCCCATGTACCCGAGGGCAACATAAAACATGGCAACAGAGCCTGCATTGCATTGCAGAACTATTTCTCCAGGTTGAGAATGCTTATCAGAACTAGTAAATGGGGAATAGACTCCCAACCATATGGAACAAATTATAACTTGAAGAGTGAAAGAACAAAGGATGATTGAATTGGCCAAATTCTTGCCCAGCCATCTGCTTGCTCTGTTTCCTGGCTTTGTGGCCAGGAAGGCCAATACCACTGTGATTGTTTTGGCCAAGAGAGAAGACACGGCAACTGAGAAGATGATGCTGAAAGCTGTTTGTTGGAGAAGGCAAGTGGCTCTGGTTGGTTGGCCAATGAACAGGAAGGAAATCAAGAAGGAACACAGGAGGGAGACCAGAAGGATGAAGGAGAGGTTCCGATTGTTGGCTTTGACAAGGGGAGTTTCTAGAAATTTAATGAAGGTTCCCAATACAAGACCTGTGGTTAAGGCCAAAAACATGGCAAGGGAAGCCAGGATGATTCCCAAATTGTCTTTGTAAGAGAGGAAATTGATCCTTTTACGGATACATTGATCTCGATATTTATTGGGATGCTGATCTTCAGGACATTGAGTGCATTGTTCTGAATCTGCAAAGATCAAGAGGAAGAAGAGAAACACTCTCTTGTTTTAACCATAGTGCTTGCTTCACAATATCTCATTGTAGTTTTGAATTTTGTGAAAATATATAGATACCCCAAAACCAGAAGAGCAAACTATGAACTATTTATGTGAACATCCAGTGATGAATGAGGAACTTTCTTTTAAAAAGTGACATAGAAAGAAGAAATTCATTGGAAGAAGCCATGTTCCATCAATGGTTGTCTATGGCAGGTCTCATATCTCTTCAGATACAGT